TCAGGTACTCCAGGTAGCCCCACGAGGCTGGAGTGTAGAATATCAGACCAGAAATGGCAAGAGCTGAGACTAGACAAAGGGCAAGGACCCCATCATGTGGGGCCTTTTAAAATATATTAAGGGGTTCGGACTCCATCCTGTGAGCAATAGGGAAGGGTAGAACAGGAAGTGATATGATTTGTTTGCATTGAAAATGATCACTCTGAGCATCAAGGAAACCAGATAAGAAACTATTGTAGCAGAGCACATAAGAGATTATGGGACTTGGATCAGACATGGTCCTTGTCTTCAAAGAGCTCATAGACAGACAGGCATACTTATAGCCAGATTAGGTACACAATAGCAAGTACCAATATCAATGCCTGAGCAAGAAGCCGTTTGGAAAAGAATGAGGGATTTCTTTTAACTGAGGATGAGAAAAAAATCATGAAAAGTTTAAGGAAGTCATACCTTCTCTCTCATCCAATGACCACTTTTAAAGATGAGGAAATTGAAGCACAGTGAAGAGTTGTACTTGTCCATGGTCACAGATTCTATTGACATTAGAACCAGAGTTAGAAACTCTGCTTCTACCTTCCATGCTCCATTCCAGCGGGGCCAATACAAGTCCATAAAGCCAGTTGAGATATGAGATATAATCGCAACGTTGTTGGAATTAGTGTTTGTGGTCTTTGGCATTCCCAGAAAAGGGCTGAATATGTGCAATGAAGAAGTAAAAGAACTAAGACAAATTCAGATCCTATTCAGGTCAGTGTCCCAGACCTTTATCTACTTACAATCTCAGAGTATGAAGGGATCTTAGAAACTACTAATTCTTTAACACCTTTTGGAGGTACTAGCTAATGCAGTTAGAAATGAGAAAGAAATTAGAATCATAAAAACTAAAAAAGAGATAAAATTACTATGTATAGGTGATAACATGATAAACCTGGAAACTATTGTCTGCTTTAGTCACCCTCTCTTTCAAGGCATCTTCATTTCTTTGCTGTTCCTTAAACAGTGCATGTGACTTTTGCATTTACTTCTCCCACTTCCTGGAAAACTCTTCTACCTGATATCCTATTCCATTCAAGTATCTCTTTTTCCTGAATCTCTGTTAACTTTCTATTCCCTTACTGGACTTTATTGTCTCCATGACATGAACACTTCCTGACATCTTGTATACTTATTAATTGATCTACTTATTTTCTTTTTCCATAGACTATGAACTCTTTGAGATCAGGAGATTTCTATCGTGTTCAGTGCTATTTCCCTAGTGCCCGGAACACTCCCTAGTTCATATCCCCAGTGCCTAGAACACTGTCTGACACATAGTAGGTACTCAGTGACTATTTGTTGAATAAGTAAGAAAATGAAAATCCAAGAAAATCAAAAGACAAATTATTACAAATAATAATAAAATTAGTGAAGTATCTGGGTAAAAATTTATGTGTTGAAAACAAGAGTCTTTATATTTATAAAGAACCACCAAGTGAAAGATTTAATGGAAGAAACCATCATATTTATAACAGCAACAAAAAATATAAACTACCTTAGCATAAAAAAGAAATGTACAGGGTCTATGCAGAAAAAAAACCTTTCAAACTTCCTTTTGTACCCTAAAGAAAACTTGAATAAATGGAAAGTCAAAACATGTTTATTCTTGGGTTGGAAGGCTGAAAGTCATGAGTCAATTCTCCCAACATTAATATGAAAATTTAATTTGATTATATTACAAATATTGAGCATATTGACAGGATTTAGGAGAGCAAGAAAAACTAAACAAACTAAATATAACAATCATACAGGAAAATATACAAGAAAATTTGGGAAAAGAAACATAATGAGGTGATATTAGCCCTTCAAATATTAACATACATTATAAACTTAATTAAAACTGTATAGTAATGACACATGAATTTACAAATGTTTAGAACAGACTAAAAGTCCAAAAATAAACCCAAATACATACAAAGAATTCATATGGTAAAGATGGCTTTTCCAGTCAGTGGGGAAAAAGATGTGTAATTTAATGGTGTCAGATAATAAAGTTTTTAATTCTTACCTCTTAGCCTACATCTATATAAATTAAAACTGAAATATTTAAATATAAAAAGAGAAATAATAAAAGTAATAGAAGAAACAATGAAAAAATTTGACCCAGAATCCAGAAAAGAAAAGATTGATAAATCTGTGTAAAAAATTAGCATTTAAAAATTTCTTCATGGAAAAAAGTATTCATAGACGTGAAGTAAAAAAAAAAAAAAAAAAAATGACAAAATGACTAAAACTATTTTTATACAGCCATGAAAACTAATTCCTAATATCTAGTTGCTATAAATCAATAATAAAGCTCAACAATCCAGTTTTTAAAATGGGCAAAGAAAATGAACAGACAATTCATAGAAAAGAAAATGCAAATGGTTCTTAAATGTAATGAAAAGATGTTTAAACTTAACCCTATAATAAAAGATAATTATATTAAGAGAAATTCAGATGAAAACTAATCTTAGATATCATTTATCATCCATCAAATTGGCAAATATCAAAAAATTTGATTCCACCCATCTCGTCAAGGTAATTGAGAATGAGACATTGGAATACATTGCCAACAGTGTAAACTGGTCCTTCTAAGGAGGTTAATTTGTCAGTATTTATCAGAATCGCAAATGCTCAGAAGACCCAGAAATTCTACTTCTAGGAATTTATCCTACATATAATTATATATGTGTGAAATAGTGTATATACAAAGTCGATCGCTAAGATGTTATTTATCAGGAAAAGGTTGAAAATTACTCAAATGTCAATCAAAGGGGACTGCTTAAATAGTTGGTATATGGCTATTAATAAAAATGAGGTAACTCTTTATGTGTTGAGAAAAAAAATCACCTCCAAGGTATGTTAAGAGAAAAAAAAAAGGCAGCTCTGCATAGTGTTTTTAGTGTGCTACCATTTGTGCGTTGGGAGGAAGGGTTAGGGATTTTTACTCGTTTGTGGATAAACTGTCTCTGGAAGGATGCATGAGAACCTGTTAACACGAGTTGCCTCTAGGTAGTGAAACTGGGTGTCTGGAGGACAGCAGTAGAAGGGAGAATTTTTACTAGATAGTCTTTCATGTTTAAAAAAAACCTTTTGAACCGTGTGAATCAATATAATTCACCTGGTGGTTATTTAAATCACATAGATGCCAGGTGTCAGGATGGGGCAGTGGAAGCCACTCCAGAGGGGTTATCAGAAGTGCCAGATTCTAATTCTTACTCCTTCGCTAACTTGCTGGCCGGCCTTAAGCAAACAACTCCCCTCCACCCCCCACCCCCTGCTCAGGGCTGATCTGAGAAAGGTCAGAGAAGGTGATTTGCAAGGCCCTCTCTAGCTCCAACATCCCAAGGTGTAAATTGCGGTTTTTCCTTACACATTTTCTTAAGTCATCTCTACCTCATCCTTTCCTCTGCAGCTCATCAAAATCTCAGAGGAAAAGACAGACAACTGAAGAAAATAAAATTGCAAAGATGACTTTTATAGGGCTCCTGTTGAATCATTGTGTATTCCACCGCCAAAGCTGAAAATGATGAGTTTAATATCACACAGAGCAGTGCATCTTATATGTCTCAAAAGACAGCTTATGCTACCCAGAAAACTGGGAGCTCAGCAAGACGTAATTTTTCTCTCCAACTCTGAGGCAAATGAAATGACAGTCATCAGCCCACTTTCTAGAAGCAACACGGTTTTCATTTGGTTTTAACTTCGTTTGAAAGTGTCCCAAGGTGGGAGAATCCTTCTAAGTGTGGACTTTTCTTTTTTCCCCAGGAGCGCATGCTAGGAAGGGCATGAACAGGTGGCCAGGTTTTCCGTTCACTGTTTCCAGCATTGGCCATTGTTGACGAGTTAACTCTGCCAGGCATCAGGAAACCTGGGTTTCAGTCCCAGTTATGCCATGAGCTCAGACAAGTCCCTTTTCCCTTCAGGATCTCTGTTACTCTAAGAAAGGATTAATAGATATAACTTGGGCTGATAGGAAGAGAAGGTTGAATCTGAGGGACATTGAAGATCTAAAGACCTAAAAATTCCCCAGTTCCTGCTAGTAGTTCGTTACTGGTTTTGGAGTAATCTCTCTGGGGTCTTTTGTTCAGTCATTCTGCATACAGCTACTGAGCATCCTTTATGCACAGGCACTGGGCTCTTTCTAGGCAATCCCCCTACCTGTAAAGGGAGCTCATAGATGGCAATGTTAACAAATAATACCATATTAAGCTAGGAATACATGTAAGTAGAGAGCAGAGAAAGACTAGTCACAATCATCTTTACAGATGACAAAGTGTTTTTTTTTTTCCATGCACTATTTATATATTATTGAGGAGTAGGTATGGCATCATGAAATGAGGTTAAATAAAAGAAGTAACTAGGACATCATAGGTAAAGCTCCCAGAATGGTGCCTGGCAAGCATGAAATATGCTGTAAATGATAGTAATTATTATTGCAGTGTTTGATCCCCACTGTAACTCTCTTAGGTTGGAATTAAAATAACCACTTTTCAAATAAAAAAGCTGAGTTCAAAGTGGGGTCATAATTTACCCCAGATCTCCTCAGCTAGAAATGGCCCAATCAGAGCAAAACTATAACCAGGCCCAATGTAAATACAATTCTGCTGCCTGAAAGTATGTCTCATTAATCAGAGAAACAAATTCTGATAATACCTTTAGTCGTGGATGTATTAACTGTTCTGGGTATGTAACATCACAACTTTGTCCAACAAAAACCTCACTTCTTCAGAAGAACTCTAAAGAGGGATACTCATGGTAGTGATCTCAGACCCTGAGGGCAGATGGTGTTAAAAGTGAGGAAAAATTGATCCTCACTGGTCTCATCTCCTCCAATCACATTGC